CAGAGAGGAAGACGTGTGCTTAAGTCTAGAAAAATGAATGAAATAGCAAAGTAACAAAGACACTTACCACTGGAAGAGCTCAGAGACAAAATGCAGTAAGTTGAGCAATGAGAAGGATTTATTTAAGGCAAAGTACACCCTCGAAGAAAGAGGAGTGCAGAGAGGAGGCACAATTAAAGGCTTAGGACTCCTGTGCTATGGATTTCAAGAATAGGGCAAAGGGCCAGGTGGTCATAGGCTTGACATGTGGTCTCATGATGTCTATCTCTGGTGAGAGACATGTCATCATCCTTAGTCCTCTAGGTATTATGTAAAAGAAATAACACAAGGAGTTTATTGATCCTGTTCTTCTCCAAGATAGTGGTTACCCTCAAGCAATGGAAACATACCATCTAGGACTGCTTGTCCTGCCTTAAGATAGGGTTCAGTTGTTGGATAATTACCATAAAATATTCTAGGAATCTTACCTCCTAACTCCCTGGTTTTTAAAATGGAATCTTAATCTTAAGATGGAAACCCTCCTGTTCTTACTATGCTATTTATATCTCTGCATTTTTCATCATAGGCAGGAAAAACTAATCATGATTCTTGTCCCATGTCCCTGTTCTACCTCAGTCTCTTGTGACAAGGAAATCTATCTTCCCCTAATCCACTGCGCACTGGAATAGGTGGCTGAACTTGGACTATCTTACCAAACCTTACCCAAAAAAACTGCTGGCTAGGAGAAGGGACTCCTGCAGTAAGAGGCAGCAGTTGGGAAGGGAGTGGTCAAACCAGAGCTGGAATATCCCTCACTAGGGAACTGTGGAGTGGGAGGCCCTGTGTAAGCCTTCGAGGACCCCTATACTGGACACTTGACACACACAGGCCCAGCAGCATAGGCTAGAGAAGCAGGGACAGCCAACAAAGAGAGCATTACAGACACACTCAGACAAGTATGAAACCTTTTGAGTTTTCTATTATTTCTAGCTGAAAGTATTTTAATATACTTTCTCTGTAGACCAAATTTCTCTCTCTTCATGTGCTGGCTGCTCCTCAGCTCAGAATGTACCTGCTTCAAGCCCAGCCCTATACAGAGATGAAAACTGAAGGCCTTCAATTCTAATATAAAATTCCCACGTAAGAGACCCTAATTGGTCAAGCTTGGATGAGTCGAGCTGACTCAGTCAAGTACAGCTGAGCATAGTCACAACTCCCAGTCTCTCCATGAGCTAGAAAGGTGCCCCAACAGATGGTGGTGTTGTGCCCTAGAACACAGGAGAGCTGAGGAATCTAGGTGGGCTTGGGTGGCTGAAATAAACATGCATATTGGGGGTATTTACTATACTCGCTTTTCAGAGAGTTTCACAGGGTGATGTGCAGGGACCGTGAGTTTTGGAAGCAGCAGAGGGAACTTAGTCTGAGAGGAAGTAAGGAAGGTCATTGATTGCCAGAGAGAGAGAGGTCATGTCATCTACAATGTGACCACCTTCCACTGCAGCCCCAAAATCCTCAATAAAATCACAAGACGCTTGGTGTGATGGGATTTCTGGTGGGTACAAGGGGGACACAACTTCAAATTGAGGCAGGATGTGGGGCAGGGACCGAGACAGAGAATCCTAAAGGATTGAACCACTCAAAGTGTAATCTTTGAATTACCCCAGACTGGCTATTTGAACCAAGTTAACCCAATTCCATAAGTGCCCTGAAGCCCCTAGTTACATTTGGGTTGCAATTTTGATGACAAAAAGAAAAAAAAGGAAACCACAAAGATTTCACCAACAGCTGCCTGATGAAATAACCTGTGATTTAATCCAACCAAGTACAGGGTAAAATCCTGATCCTTCACAGGATGGGTTTTCTGTGCTATTTCCCTATCTGCAGTTGGGCTGGTGAAGTGGAAACCTAAGGAGTTTCAAAGCTCTTAAATGTTCCTTAGACTCTGAGACTTCCACTTTATATACGGTCTTTGTGCACCAGCTGGTACAAGGAGTCGGATTTCCCTGGAACCTTATTACAATGGGCTGTTTTCTCACCATAGGGATTTATATATATACCTTGAGGTCTTAAAGTTCTTACGTGGTGGGAACAGGGATTTCTGTGACCTCTAGCCTACATTAAGTCAAATTTGGCTTTGAAGTAGCATAGGAGAGTGGCAAGTACCTTGAAAAGAAAATGTCAAAAACAGAATGAATAACTTGAAATATTACTAAAGGCTCTTAAAAATTGCTGTTTCAATTTTATTGGAACGTTAAACGGTTGGAAAGAGGGAGGAGGAATTTTTCTGAAGGAACATGGGATATCATTGAGACTCCTTGGACTATTAGGTCTACAAAAAGGATTCATGGTAATTTACCAGTATCATTATTACAGTGCCATTATTTAATTTTGAACAAAGGTTTGTGTCTTCTTCTGCATTAAGGAAAGTTCTCACATTTAGCTCCATTGGAATTAAATTGTGGCAGCTCCCCCACTGTGGAGCCATTTTCTTGACCTGTGCAGTACCCCTGCTCTTCACACTCCGACAACAGGAGTAGGTATGACCCAGGCTGACTCATTTACATCTCTGCCTCCCACTGATCCACAAAGACTGAACCATAGATAGGCAGATGAGCACATGGTGCTTTTCCTAGAGGTTCATCTCTTGCAGCTGGAGGGGAACTTCCTCTCTCTTTTCTCTGTCTTAACTTTACCTAAGCCCTGTGTTCCTGGAAAAATTGAAATGGTTAAGAAATGCTGTCCACCCTTTATGTTCTGGCTTACTGTAAAAAAATCACCTTTCCTCATGTGACTTAGATAAGACTCACAGATGACCTCCTTGTTTACTTATGATAAGGCTAGACACAGACTCTCCAAATTCCCATTCACTGTCTTATAAGTGATAATGTGAACTGTCTGTCCCCCTGAAACTAGCTAGACACGAACATTTCCTGTTCAGCTGACAGACTAAGACCCCCAATTACAGAAACAATTCCAGCTTAGAAGGCCACTTAGAAGCCATCTATCTATTCCCTATAAAAATCTCCAGACAAAACTCTCCTGCCAAGACACTGTGATCTCAGATCTGGGGTGCTCTCCCTATTACAACAGCCTAAGTAAGCTCAGTTTGCTTATTTATTTGGTTTTTATTTTTGACAGGTTATGGAATTGTAAGGATGTGTCCCCAAGTTCCAGTGGTCATATTCCCAGACACAGAGGGAGGCTGGAAGGAATGAGATCTCTACTCAGAGGAAAGTAGAGACTAGCTGATCTTGGCAAAAGGCATTACATCCCTGGTTCTGGGCCTACATTTCTAGAGCTGACCTGCTGTGCACCTACTAGTATCCATCCCTTAAATGCCCTTTTTTATAAGGGTTACTTTGTTTTTGGTTTCTGTCACTTGCAATCTGAGTAGCCTAATAAATGCACCACATTTAAAACTCACCTTGCAAGTGCAGTAAGTATCTTCATTAAAGATGCTGGGGATTACATAGATCAATGAAACAGAATAGAGAGCCAAGATATAAACCCACACATATACAATAAAGGAGCCATGAATATACAATGGGGAAATGACAGCCTCTACAACAGCTGGTGTTGGCAAAACTGGATAGCTACATGCAAGAGAATGAAACTGGATTATTGTCTAATTCCATACACACAAGTAAACTCAAAATGGATCAAAGACCTGAATGCAAGTCATGAAACCATAAAACTCTTAGAAGAAAATATAGGCAAAAATCTCCTGAATATAAACATGAGCAACTTTTTTCCTGAACACATTTCCTCAGGCAAGGGAAACAAAAGCAAAAATGAACATATGGGACTACATCAAACTAAAAGCTTCTGTACGGCAAAGGACACCATCAACAGAACAAAAAGGCATCCTAGAGTATGGGAGAATATATTTGTAAATGACATATCCGGCAAGGGTTAACATCCAAAATATATAAAGAACTCACATGTCTCAACACCAAAAAGCAAATAACACGGTTAAAAAATGGGTGGAGGATCTGAACAGACACTTCTCCAGTGAAGAAATTCAGATGGCCAACAGACACATGAAAAGATGCTCCACATTGCTAATCATCAGGAAAATGCAAATTAAAACCACAATGAGATATCACCTCACACCATTTAGGATAGCCAACATCCAAAAGACAAGAAACAACAAATGCTGGCGAGAATGTGAAGAAAGGGGAACCCACCTACACTGTTGATGCGAATGTAAATTAGTTCAATCATTGTGGAAAGCAATCTGGAGGTTCCTCAAAAAACCACAAATAGAAATACCATTTGACCCAGGAATTCTACTCCTACGAATTTACCCTAAGAATGCAAGATCCCAGTTTCAAAAAGACAGATGCACCCCTATATTTATCACAGCACAGCACTATTTACAATAGCCAAGAAATGGAAGCAACCTAAGTGTCCATCAGTAGATGAACGGATAAAGAAGATATGGTACACATACACAATGAAATATTATTCAGCCATAAGAGGAAAGACTGATTCTGAATTCCAGGCAAAGTGTATGTATTTCAAAAAGCTATTATATATTTCAAAGAATGTGGATTTAAGAGAATAAAATCTCCATGATCTGACACTAAATTTAAAAAAATATACTAAAATAATATTTGTATAATCTTTTTTTAGTGGCAAAACAGCTTTTCTATATAGTCTTGGTTTTTGTAACATCCCTATGAAATGTATAAATAGAAATAACATATTTGCACTTGACGTTTGCTAAAGTCAGTCTTTCAATAAATGGTGACAATCTTGTTCAACTCACTCCTTTTTAAATTTTGCTCTTTCAGACTTGTTTCCTGAACACTGCAGTTTTATTTTATTATGAAGTTCTTCATTTCCTCATTCAAGAATGTTCTTTCCTGCCTTTCCGTGCAGTATGCGTGTACCCATGCTACAAAACCCTGCTCACACCGGAACACGGCCTCACTCGCCTTCCTCAGGCTTAGAGACCCACACCAGCTACGCAACACCTCAGACCCCACCCACTGCTTGCCTCCGCGGGGCAGGCTGGCTCCGCCCACTCATGCAGCGCGGGCGTTCGGAGTCCCCGCCCCTCCGAGGAATTTCCCAAAGCCCAGCACTGCAGAAATTAGCTGCGCTAAGATGGCGACTCCCATGCATCGGCTCATAGCCCGGAGACAGGCGTAAGTGAAGGGCCGGCGGGGCGGCGGGGCGGCGGGGCGGCGGGGCGGGCTGGGGGCGGGGAAAAGCGCGTCAGCCGGTGGGTGAGCGGGCGCGGGGATGCGCGGTGTGGACAAGCAGGGTGGCTGTTTTTCTCATGCGTTGCCTGCTCCCTAGGGGCTCGGCCCGGGCCATACGTTTGGTGCTCCTGGGTTAGTTTCGAGGAAGACAGCTGCGTAAAGTCAGCGGGGCGTGACTTAGGGGGATCCGAAGAGGGTCTCGCGTTTGGTTCCCGCCAAAGGGAATCCCAGTAGTTGGTCACTCAGGTTGATACCGTTTGTCCGCCCAGCCTCCCATCGCACGCGTATCCTGGGGAAGCTTGAACCCCTGAGCCGGCACCCCCAACTCGCTGAAGTAAATCTTTAGCCACCTGTGCAGCCCGCAGCCCAGCTGGCTTTCCCTGCCGCCTTCCCATCACCTTCTCTAGGAACAGCCTCGACGGTAACGCCGACGTTTCTCCCAAGCCATCTTTTCACTTTGTGCTCATGCTGTTAAGTCAGTATTAATTTATTCATTACCTACCCCTCTGTGCCGGAATTTGATTATAAAGAAAAAGAAATGTTCAAAACAATCCCTGATTTCAGGGAGCTTACATTGCAGTGGTGGAAAGAGTCGATAATCTAAACATTTTAAGTAATAAATCGGCGATAAGAGGTTTGAAGGAAATAAGAGATGATGGAAAGAAAGGCCCAGATGATGTTAGTTGGACAGGAAAGGCATCTCTGAAGAGGTGGCATTTCAACAGCCGTTGAAAGTGTTCCGGTGTTGAGAATATTTGGAGAAAGAGCATGCAGGCAGCGGCATAACTGTGTTGCGACAGTGAAGAATTTACTTTTTAAGAACTGAGAGATGGCTGTTGTGGCCAATGAGGGAGAGAGAGCGAGCGGCACAAGAGGTTTGTTGTGCAGAGATGATGCAAGGAGTTTTCCTAGATGCCCAGTTCTCCTAAAGCCTTTTTCTCCTACCAGCCTGCACACCCAAACATCTGCCGCTTTTTCATTCCTTCAGCATTTCATGACATCACCATTTGCCTATCTGTAATGTATCACTCACAGTCAGCTCTTGTATATGTTATTTCTTTTTATATATTTTTTTAATTCTAAAATACAGGTTCCTTTTTTTCTTCTGTACATGACACTCTGCCTCTCATGCCGATGAGAAGAGTTCCTTGAGCATAAGGATAAAGACAGGAGTCAGTGGAGGAAGTCGGTGGAGGGAGGATTGGAGGCAGTTCTGAGATCAGTAGAGTGATGATACTACTCAGCAGGTGTGCTAAATGATGTTATCAGGTCCATTTCCTCTCAGGTTTGCCCTTTTGGGTGTTGGTTTCTCGCTCAGGGTTCACTGCTCCCAAGATGGCTACAGTATTAGGGTCCTTTATATCCTCTCAGCTGCAAGTTGATGGCACCTCATTGGTCTAGACTGGGTTACATACCCAACTCTGAACCATGTTTATAGGATTGTGAGGCTCTGATTGACTTAGATCTCGTTCTTCAATGGATCTTCATAGATCAATGATAAACTGGGTGGGTAGGTCAGAGGAGGTAATGAATGCTAGATTGGCAAAACCAACCAATTTGTAAATTGTAATTACATCTACTTATGTAAGTAGACTGTAGATTCTTGACACTCTGAGGTCATTTATTCTATTAAACCCTCCACTGGATTCCATTACTGTCTCAGTATCTAGGGTAATCATCTAATTTAGGCCTGAAGACCTCCAATAAGGGTATACTTACCTCCCGACGTAGGGTTTTTATATTTTGAAATCTACCAAGAAGTTTATGTTGAGCTGAAAGAAAAAGAATATGAAACTAAACCCGGCTTCCTTCTAACTTCCCAGCCTTTGATCTAAACTGTGATTTCAGTTAAACTTCTTAAGTGTTTTCTACTTGAATTGCCATCAACTCGAGCTTCCCCTCTCTTTTACTTGTATTGGTTTTCTGGACTTAAACTTTTATCCTTGTTAAATTCCATCATGTTAGAGTCAACAGAGTTTCAGCCTATCCAGACGTTTTTGGATCCTGATTCAGCTTTGTATCGGTTGCAGGTTTGATAAAAATGCACATCTGTGTCCTCATCCAGGTCATTTATAAAAATGTTGAACAAGACCAAACTGAGGACCAAACCCCACAGGCCATCACAAGGATACTGTGAGAGACTTTCCAAGATGCCTTATTGAAATACAAATACCGAAAAGGCAATAAGGGTGTTAGTGTGAGGTGATTTGGTACCTAGTGATCATAGCTTTTCTTTCTGAGTGGATTTAATAAATCCAGCCAAAATTTGCCTGGAATGGATTATCAAATTCACTGGTCTAGTTTGTGAATCTACCATTCTCCCCTCTCTTTGAAAATCAAAACAGCATTTGCCTACTTCCAGTCTTTGAGCACCACTCCTGTTTGCCAAAGGTCCTCAGATGACCAGCAGCAGTACAGCAGTCTCACCTAGAAAATCTCTAGTGTGTTGGGGAGCAATCACCTGGGCTTTCTGACTTAAACATACTCAGATCAGATCAGAGGGCTCTGTTACCCACTCTTTAACAACCTTGGGCTTCAGTTCTTCTCTTCTTATTCCGCATATAATTGTTTTGAGTTAAGACTAAAGTGAAATAAAAACCATCCTGCTGTTCCCTTAGCCTGTAACATGACAGCATAGGTGGCCTATTTGCCTTGCAGCCAGAAAGTGAGCCTATCCCTTTTTTTATTCTTTGTGCAGTAACTATAAATGAAACACAAAGCAATTTTTAATGTACTTGATATTTTTCACTAATGTCAGCTTATTTGGCTAGGAGACTGAGATATTTCTCATAAAAGCCTTTACCACTCTTCTGTACTTAGTTCTATGTGTTCCTTTGAAAAATATCTGTTAGAATTTGTTTTATGATTTTACATGCAATCTATGTTCCTTATTAAAAGGTTAAAAAATACAGATAAGGAAAAAAGTATAATTCTACCTCAAAGATAATCATTGTTTACGTTTTAGTGTACAGCCTCATGGTATGTTCTTCATAGATATATAATAAGTTTTGACCATTTCTTTTGTTGCTGTATAGTTAGTTAGGTTTACTCTTACAAACCATATTGTACTTCCTATATTTAAGCAACTAAATTTTTGTATATATTTATTATTATCTCTGGGTCAGCTGGTATGAACAATTTTTAAAAGTCAAGTTTATTGAGGTTTAATTTACATATAGCAAGATTTATCCTTTTTAATGTACAGTCCGTGCATTCTTACAAATACATATAGTTACGTAACTACCACCAAAATCAAGATACAGAACTCCATCCCTGCAAGTCTGGGAAGAGGAAATCTTGGGGCAAAATACCTCTAAAACCGAAATCAGTCAAAAGGAAAAATAAAGTTTAAAATCTGTTGAATGCTTACAAACTGTAGTCTGGGGCCATCTCTCTCTCCTACTTCAGCAGAAGCAAGCAGAGACCTCCCCCTAACCTTGCAGGTTCTGATAAGCCCTCGGTTGCCCAGGTGATTATCCACTGATATGAAGATAAACTTCTCTCCACCCATGAGGATATGCAAATGCACTATAGTCAGGCGAGATATTCCGGAAATATTACAGTTTTACCGACAATCACCTAAAATATTTCTTCGTGACTGATCCTCCGCCTCTGGCAACCACCGATCTTCTGTCGCTGTAATTTTTACCTTTTCCAGAATGTCATGTGAATAGAACCAGTCTGTAGCCTTTTGAGTCCAACTACTTTCACTTAGATAATGACTTTGAGATCTACCCAGGTTCTTTCATGTATCAATAGCACATATTTTCTTTCTTTTTTTTTGCTGCTAGTACTCCATCGTATGGATGTACCAGTTTGTTTATCCACTTACCAGATGAAGGACATTTTGATTGTTTCCAGTTTGGGGTTATTATGAAGAAAATGTATATTATAGGCCTTTGTGTAAATACCTAAAAGGGGATTACTGGATCACACGGCAAGTTTATATTTAACTTTATTAGAAACTGCCAAACCATTTTCTGAAGTTCATCTTTTTTGCATATTGCTATCCAATTGTTTCAGTACCAGTGGTCGAGAAGATGTTCTTCTCGGAATTTCTTTTGCACCTTTGTCAAAAAACAGCTCTTCGTGTATGTGTGTGGGTTTGTTTTAGATTCCGTTCTGTTTCATTGATATATTTGTTTATGTAACCCACTCTGTTGTGGTTAACTGTAGCTTCATATAAGTCTTGAAATAAGGTGGTGTTAGTCATCTAATTTTGCTCTTTTTTCACTGTTGTTTTGACTGTACTAGATTCTTTGTGTTTTCATATGAATCTTAGGATCAATTTTTGTGAAAGAGCCCGCTGAGATTTCATTTGCTATTGCACTGAATCTATAGATCAACTTTTGAAGAATTGACATCTTAACAGTATTGGTTTTCTGACCCATGAATATGTACATCTCTCCATTTTTTTGGTCTGTCTTTAATTTTTCTCACCAATGTTTTATAGTTCATTATAGAGGTTTTGGACATCTTTCATCAGATCTATCCCTAAGTTTTGTAATAGTATTTTGTTAAATTTCAATTTCCAATTGTTTGTTGCTAGTACATAGAAATAAACTGACTTTTTATGTTGCCCTTGTATCCTGCAACCTTGCTAAATTCATTTATTAGTTCTAGTAGCTCTATTTTGGATTCTTAGAGTTTTCTAGGTAGATAATCATTATCTCTTTTGTGTGTGTGTGTTTTTTTTTTTTGGTATATATGTTTTTAAGAATTTTGTTGCATTTTATCAAATGGCCCTTCAGAAAGTTTGTGCAACTTAACAGTTCTTACGAGCAGTTAAGAATGGGTATTTTACCATTTATAGAATGCCATTCTCCATCTTTGCCAACAATAGGCTTGAAAAACAACTTTGCCAATATGACAGACATGTCCTAATGTTTTAGATGTTAAAGGAGATCATTTTGCATAAGAAGCCCGTACCATTAAAAACAGTT